CATTTAAGGAGCTGATCAGTTCTTTAAGATAAAGCCTGTGAACCTCCAGCTTGGTTCTTTTCCACTGACGCTCAGTCTTACYGCAAACTCTCCTCAAGCTAAGGATTTCCTTATTAATCCAAGGACAGTTTGTGCGCTGCACAGTGCTCTGTTTTACAGGTGCTATAGTGTCCAAAATATTTATACAATGAGCATTAAAACGTGAAACAAATGAGTCCACATTAATGATGTTATAATCTAAAGAGGCAGAATCAAAAAGTGAAGTAAAGACTTCAGAAGTGTGCTCATTTATGATCCGCCTTTGGATCATAAGTCTAGGAGGAGCTGGATCAGGACTAAAAGACACATTAAAATATGTACAATTATGATCACTTAAAAATATATCCTCCACACAAACATCCTCTATATAAAGGCCTAAGGAGAAAACAAGGTCCAATGTATGGCCTTTTTTATGAGTAGGCGCACACACACATGCTGAGTAAAACAGGCGCCATCTTGCCCCCAGGTGGCAGGTTTGCTCTGGGAGCTCTGACTATTACTATTACTACTATTATTATTATTAGTAGTACTACTATACATGATGATAGCTATCATATTCTTCTTTGTGGCCATGTTTGGCCAAGTTCTGTTGTAGAAACGAAAGAGCTCCCCCTCTGGTCACAATATATGACGGTCACAAAATATGGTGTAACACCAGTTTTAAGATGTGGGCAGTAAAAAAAACTCAACACAAACAAATCACAACAATGACTGTGCACAGTAACTTTGGTGTTACTCTCAGAGAGCACCTGCTTACTMCTCAGACTCTTATTAATGCAACGTTTAAAGTCTAAAGCACAGAAAAACTATCGGACTAACACCTGAATTTACAGGAAAGTYTGCTTTGCATTTTATATCTTTAGTTAGCATCTGTGCACAGGTGGACCTGAACTCTTTCTCTAGTGAAGTAAAACATGTTTACTTACAAAATAATGAAATGCCAAAATACAGAACAGCAAGCTAAGTTTCCTCAAATGCTTGTGCTAGCCACACACACACACACACACACACACACACACACACACACACACACACACACACACACACA